GCCATCTCATCTGAACTTGTCTGTTGGAGGGTTTTCCATGACGGGGACAACCCAATGAAGTCAGAGATTTGAAATTAATTTTTATCTAGCACCTTTCTCCAGGAACATAGTCCTCTATGGACATTGCTTTAGTAGTCCAGGAGGAGTACAGCACGCCTGGAGAGCTGAGCAATTAAGTCCTATTATTGTAAGCATTAGGAATACTTTATGATTTGTCCTTCAAAGAATTCTTGGCCTTGGGGCAAGCAATGGATTGCAAGTGGGAGAACGGGCTGTTAGCTCAGTTTCTCTCCATGGGGCCTGCATATTGAATCAGTTTTGAGGTCTCTTTAACAGGCCTAAGTTAATAAATGGGGTAATGGCTTTAAACCACTAAGAGTTGCTTCTCCTTCCTGGAGAATATGGCCTGTGCTCCTCGGCCCTGCTGTTTGAATTGGCAGACTCTGTCATGCTGTGCCACAGACTGCATGATGGTGAGGGGCTGTGTTGGCTCATGGGATCCGAAGCAAGGCTTGAGGTTGTTGTATTTCCTTCCTTGGCATCTTGTGCCTGGGTCATATCCTCACCTAAGGACTGAGCGGTGGCAACTGTGCTTTCTTCTGGACTGAAGTCCAGTTGTCAAGACAACTTCACATTAAAAAATTTCTCACTAAGGATGGGAAAGCAGAAATGAAAACTTTTTCCATTGAGAGGGTATCAGCTTCACTTCCATCCCATTCGCCATTCACTCTGAATGTCTGTGGTTTCTTTTAAATTGTGTGCCAGTACCTCTCCTCGGAGGTATAAATTCGCACGGGGTCTGGCAGAATCCGCAGACAGGATGTTGACTCTTGAGCGTCTTGACTGACTTGGAGGCCCGGCAGAGGTGCTCTAAGGCTCCAGGCGATCTAGGTTTCTAGCCAAGATTTCTAAAGCCCAAGGTTTGAAAATGCTTGCTTAAGATTTGACTTATCTATGGAGATCTAAAAATTTTATTTTGTTCCTCAGAAGAACCAAGCATGAAAGCTGTGCCACTAAATCCCTATTATCTCCTCCTCACCAGTCTCACTTTTGCTTCTTGGGTTTAATTTTTCAAGATCAGCGTTTCGGTGCCCCTAGGAATGATCCTCCAGCATCTGCTTGAGCTTGGGCTTCAGTTTCCTCACTGGCAAGGCGAGGCATTAGACCTGGAGGCTCCCGTGGGTCCCTGTCTCTTTGGGACAGTCATCCTTGCCCCCATGGAGACCATTCGGTCATCACATTTGCCTTCTCTCCTCAAGGCATGCAAGTTTATTCAAGGCACCTTAGGACAATGCCTGTTCCAGACCAAGTGACCTGGAGGAGGGGTCATGGTCACTGCTGTTAAACCCCCACTGAACTCTGGAGAGATGAGTGGTGCTGTCACCTGTGAAGAAGATGGGCCTCACAGCTGCATGCCTTGGTTTTGTGTATAAGAACAAGCCTTTTCCGTGATACCCTAGAAATGTGGAAATGACATCGAAGGAATAGGGATGGGAGAATGTAATTCTTTTACTTTAAAAATTGAGGTATGAGTGCCCTTTCACATAGTAGTTTCAGAGTACCATAATGATTTGAGATTTGTGTAGATTGTAAAAGAATGATCGCAATATGTCTACTTAACATTTGCCACCCTACAGAGTTACACACTTTCTTTTGTGATGAAAATTTTTCAAGATTTACTTTAACAACTCTGACATGTACAGTGTAGTATTGACTGACTACTGTGCTGTAGCTGACCTCCCCATAACTTAATTATTGAGGCTTGTACCTCTCGATTCCCCTCACCCACCCTTACCCTTTCTCCCCTGGTAACTGCCAGTCTGTATCTTTTTGTTTTGTGTTGTTCCTTCATTCGCATTTTTAGATTCCACATATAAGTGAAATAATGGTATTTGTTTTTCTGACTTACTTCACTTAACATATTACTCCCAAGAGTGTATTTTCTAATGCATTCAGTATTTATGGGGTTCTTATTAGAACTATAAATGACAATGTAGTGTCAAAGCCCTTGAGTTTTTCAGTACTGACTTAGAGATTGATGTAGAAAACAAAAACTGATTATAAAGAAGAAATAAATGCTACGTGAAGACTTAAGAGGACTGGCAGAGAACACAAGTGTCTGTTCTAGAATTAGATTACTTTATAGCAGAATGCTTGTAAAACACAAGGGGAAATATGAAATAAAATGTATCTTTTGCTTCCAAGAAGATGTGAACATTGTAAAAATCAGAATTAAGTCATTTGAAACTGTCTGCCTTTTAAAAATCCAGATGATTCTAAGCCAAAAGAATTTTTTTTTTTTTGGCAAAGAAATACAAGTTTTTCAGAACAATAGGTCCAGAGAATCTCAAGTGCTTTATGAAGTGACTACTGTAGTTGGGAGGTGAATGGGAACAATGGTTCAGTGCTTGCTTTCCTTGGAAGTCTCAGTTTGCCGAAGTGAGCAGAATTTAGGTGACAGGATGAGCCGCATGGCAGCTGCTAGTTGCTACAAGTTATTGCCAGAGAAGGCAAAATAGTTGGCACACTGATTTCAACTTCATTATCGTACCAAGAGCCAGAAAAAATAGGAGTTTATGTTCTTTTGAAGTGAGATGATGTTGTCTATTTTTCCCCTCACACACGCACACACACACACACACACACTCAAGATATTTGCAAATATGGTCTGACAACTTAGAGTGTAAGCTGATATTTTTATGCTACTGTTAAAAAAAAAAGCGCAAATTGAACTAGGTGAGTTTTTTTGACTGGGGACGTGGCATTTTATTGTCATAAAAAAAATTTTTTTTAAGGTATAGCCAAGAGAAAAAGGTAGATATTGTATTAACAATTAAAGCAGATGTTAGCAAACACCTTCTTTCTTTAAAGTGTTTTGGAACACAGCCACACCCATTCATGGACATACCGATGCTTTCCTGCTACCACAGCCGAGTCAAAGGGTGGTAACAGCCTCCGTCAACTCTAAAGTGTTTATTCTTTGGTCATTTCTAGAAAATATTTCTGGATACCATTGCGCAAGGAGCTGGAAGACCTGGTTGGCTGCTAGGAAGTCTGCCAGCAGACTTTTGTTCTGACGTCCTGTGTTAGAACCCCTGGTGAGGGAGACATTGGAAGGAACTGTGGGCATTTCTCTTCTGGAAGAAACCACTTCCTTCTTCCAAGTGTGAGGTCTCCCCCCGCCCCCCACCCCGGCTGGCTTCTTCAAGTCCTTGCTAGACTCATAGCTGTCTGTGAGCACCTGAATGACTGTTGTGAGCAAAGAGGCATCATATTATAAGACCATGGGGAGCTGAATTATGATTATGGATAAAAAATACTGCGACAATTCACTTTCCAGCTCAAAGAGCAGTGTTTTTAGACTCCGCCCCTCACTGGAGTGTGTTATGTGGTGAGTGATGAGTCCCCTCACTGGTGATGTTCAAATAAAGGTTGTGTCAGAAGATCTTTGAGATCCCATCCTAACTTTGAAGTTCTAATGGCTTCTGAGGTAGAGAGTCTATGTTTCCGAGCTCGGATTTTGCCCACAGCCTAGCATTGAGGGTATAGAGAGGCTTCTGGGATGATTTTCTGAAAATACAATCCTATTCAGACTGAAGCAGTCCCCAGGGGGAGAGGACAGGCAGGGGACGGGCGGGGGAAAGGCTCAACACAGTCAGTCTCCCCTGTGGCCACAGTGACAGCAGGTTGCTTCTTCTCATGCTCCAGCCTCAAGAATAAACCATGTGTCTTCAGCTGCTGCAACACCTGAGCTTTGTGCCCTGGCGTCTAGAGAGAGGAGGGATGTGCCAGGGGCGTAGCACAGATGTGGGAGTCAAAATCGGGTCTCTGGGTTGGACTTTGGCAGAGAATTTATATGGAGACCTGGCTCTGAGTGGCGTGAGGTCATGCATTCTCTGTGCAGCTTTGCTGTTCCAGGACCAAAAAGCAGCTGTAGACACTACAGAAACGAGTGCGCCAATAAAACTTTCTTTACAAAAGCAGGCAGGGCCAGGCTGACCCCAATACAGACACTGGACACAGAGCTGGCTAAGCGACATCAGCTCTGTTCTCATGTTTTCGAGGAGAGGTGAGATGGCACACCCAAGGTCATACCGTGGTGGAGCTGGGAGCACAGCCCAGAGCCTGACCTTAAGATTCAAGCCCCTTTTGTGAGGCTGTGCTGCCTCTGCCGAGCAGTCGGGTTATAGCACTGGGCTTACAAGAGACAGGGAATGTGAGGCTTACCTGCGCCAGGTGGCCCTGTACTGAAAGCAGGGGCAGCTCGGGGAAGGTCTTTTAACAGCCCCAACCCCTAAATCAAACCTGTGATCTGACCTCACGTTTTCTTAGAACAGTCCCGTGCCCAGTAAGACAGAAGAACCATTGCCTGTATTTATGTGGAGAAATAATGCCCAGAGTTGTGCAAAAGAAATGGGCTCCCGCAGCTGCGTCACAGGACTCGATCACTTCAGCCGGGAGTGCCCGGAGATTTGAGACAGATGTTTGCAGACAGGCCGCATGCCTGAAACATTTCCAGGGGTCGGGCTGCAAATCGCGACTTTGTAAGTGGAGAGACGGGGCAAGGATGCGTGTGGGCACACAGGAGCGGAGGCCCCGCGAGGTGCTGGCTGGGCCCCTGGTGCCCCTGCGCCTGGCAGGGTGGCGCTTTCATCCGCTGTGCCCTCCGGGTTGCTGTTTGTCTGCCCGTGAATAAAGTGCAGCATTGTGGTTAGTAATCCCACTCCAGTGACTCGGCTTCAAATGTGGTTTTGGAGTGCATCCCAGAGTTCTGTTTGCTAAGCTTCCTACTCCTGTTTTAGAGACACCACTGGAAACAGACGTGCACGGGAGTCTCTCCTCCTAAACCTGTCGGGTTGTGGGCTCTCTCTTCCCCCTCTGGTTCCTTCCTTCCTCTTTCCTTCCTTCCTTTTTTTTTTTTTTTTAAACCTCCCAAAGCAAGTTCATGGATACTAAGCTGATGTGTTTGTTGTTCTTTTTCTCCCTGCCTCCGCTCCTAGTGAGTAACCACACTGGCCGCATCAAGGTGGTCTTTACTCCGAGCATCTGTAAAGTGACCTGCACCAAGGGCAGCTGTCAGAACAGCTGTGAGAAGGGGAACACCACCACTCTCATTAGTGAGAATGGTCACGCAGCCGACACCCTGACGGCCACGAACTTCCGAGTGGGTGAGTCCTCCACCGTCCCTCACTGCCCTTCCCCGACGGAGCTTTATGAGACCGGAGCGTCCAGACACCCTGCCATGCAGACTGCTCTCTGCTTGAATGAGTTTCTGTCTGAGCCCAAGTGTGCTGCTTTCGTGCGATCTTTAAAAGGACTTTGAGCATAGTTTGGCCCCTGATGGCTGGTTTCTTAGAGAAATGGCAGCTGGGAGTTTGCCCCTTAGTGCTTATCATTTGTGCAGCTTGGTGGTGATGGGGAGATATTAGCAGCACGTAAGGAAATGGGGTTTAGGTGAAGACGCTTAATGTATAACGCGGGGGTGGAGCAGCTTCTGCTTTTTTCTGCTTAGCGATAAGTAGAGTTCATGTTAGATTTGACACATTATGAAATTTGAATGCCGGCGGTTCATTTTACGTTTTTACTTTATAAATAGCCATGCTCGCAAGAAAAAAAAAAGGGGGGGGGGCATTGTCAGAAATCTATGTTTGGATGGCAAGAAAGGGGAAAGGTTTGTATCTTTTGCCAAGTTTCTATGCTATATCAGAAGCCTGGATGAGGAACTGAGACATGGCATGGATTGGGGGAGAACATAGGCTCGTGGGTTACTGTCACTGCTCCAGATTGTTCACTCTTTTCTAATTATTTTCACTATCAACTCTGGTAGTCACTGATGGCAAAAAAGGCTTTTTGTTCCTTATGGAAGTTTTGTTTCTTTTTCACTTTTCGTAAGTGGGAGAGAGTGCTGTGGTCCTCTCCCTGCCGTCCCGTCTCACAAGGCAGTATTTTTGTCCCAGAAAAATGTCTTTTATTATTTTTTGAACGATTATGGTTTTCCATGTGTACTCAGATCGCAGACACCCACATTACTTTCTGAGTTACTCTGAATAACCCAAATGTCAGACAGATAATAACACTGGCTAGATCTGGTCTTTTTATGGAATATTGCTGTTTAGTCTTGGGAGTGTGTGTCTGGGGGGGTAGAAAAGGAGGTGGTGTCTATTTCAAACTGATTTCCAGCGAGACAGAATATGAGAGGGCAGCTTGAGGTCCGCCCTGGCTCTTTGATGATCCTCCTGCTCTGCTGTGACTCCCAAGTCTTTGGATGCTGAAGGAGTGCTCTTGCCAGTCTGCACTTAGAGAACGCGCATGCCCATCGATGCTATTTAAAAAGGGTATTGTAAATTTCCTGGCTATGATATGGGCACTTCGGGAATATTTTTAAAAGATTTGAGCTGCTAGGTGCCAAATGGCATGTTCTGCTTAGTGGGGCAGAGAGCCGAGTCTAATGAGAAGTGTGCTGAACAGTTAGGGAACTCGATCCTGATCCCGAAGCTACCGCCAACCAGCCAGTTCACTGGCGTGACAGCCAGTTTTTTTGGATGTCACTTTCTCTCATCTATAAAGCAAATGGCTTATATTTAGTGGCCTCTACAAGCCCCCCCCTTCCACCCCCCAGTTATTATTTCTGGCTTTTTGAGGAAGGCTGTAGACAAGGAGGGGGCAGGGGCAGTCCTTTCCCAGAGCTTATTGTCGCCTTAATGACTTTTCCCCGTTTGGTTTTTTTGATCACCTTCCTTACCTCGTGCTTTCCCTCCTCTGTCATCATCCACAACAGTGTCTGCTCCTCCTCTTTGATTTATTATAAATCTTTGCAGTAGGAATGACAAAGTAATGGGCTGGGTGGTTATTTGTTGGCTTACAGTGTATTCATTTTGAAACTAAATACTTGAAGGCTTTGAGAAACAGAGGAAGTCTACTTGTTAAAACATGCTATACACTTTCCTCTCTGGCATTTGAACAGATGTTTAGGAACAGGATACACATTGCCCATTCAAAATATATCATGGAGCAGAAGGAGCAGAACTATTTACATAAGGATTGGTGGAGTAGTCTAATTAAAAATAAAAGACTATGAGAGCAGAGCACAGGAGGATAGAAACAGTTTGACACTGAAAATATAAAATATAAATACCATTTATATGCTGAGCCGTTTCTCTGTCCTTTTTATACTTTGCTCAAGTATTTGATCATTTATGGGACAAGTTTTAAATTCAGTTGTGGGACAAGTTACTGAAGAATGCTCATTCATAGAACTTGGAGACTATAATTCTTCAGGAAGATAGGACATTTCAGAATTTGATTTTTTGGGGGGGAGGTATATAACCTTGGATCTTACTGATTTAATATTATTTTATTACTTACAAAAAATGATTTTCCAGTTCACTGATTTTTTTTCTCTTGATAAGAAATTACAATATGTCCAATCTTTGAAATGACAAAATTGTATGGTTTGAGGAAAAATAAAAAAACTGATAGTAACATGTTAGTTTTCGTCTCTGGCCTCTGATAGTCAAGAGCATTGGGAGGTGGGGCTGTCACTTTTCCTGTGAAGTGCCCCAGATTGAGTATGTCACACTTTGCAGGCTTTGCAACCATTTGCCTGTCTGGCTGTGGTGAAGAGGCATAGGCAGGAGTGAAGAGGCATAGGCAGGGGTGGCCCCGTGATGTTACTGACACTGTCCGTAGCCACGTTTGACTCGGGCACCCCAAGAGCTGACTGCAGCCTCTGTCTAGTAGATCAAACCAATACAGAGCAAACCACTGGGACTTGAGTGTTAAGAGACTTGAGTTAAGTAATCCTGTTTGGGAATCAGAATAGCAGAAATAATCTTGAACATCGGCACTGGTGATTTTCACTTACTTTGTTTTTTAAAGAAGTGGATTAGATGCTGTTGTCATCATTTTATGGATCGGGAAACCAGACTCAGGAGTTTAAGTGCTTCGTCTTAGTTGCATGGTGAGTGAGTTAGCAAGGACTACAACCCAGAGTCTCCTGTGTCACGTTTCCTCACCTCCTGGGACTGACCATGATGCAACGGAGGACAGGTGAAGGACCACTTGAGGGTGCTGGGTTTTGTGGAAAGGTCAGATGAGAAGTTAAAATAAGAAACTGCCCTGGGTTTGAGTGCTGGCTTCATCGTGGCCAGTGGGCTTACTCTGGCTCTGTATCTGGTTCCAGCCCAGGTCACTGTCATCCCACAGTGCAAGTAAATAACAGACACAGAGCTTTGTTCTAGTGCAGGCGTCGGGGTAATGTTGGCTCCTTCCTGCTGCTTCTGTCTTTCTGTCAGTGGTGACTGTGACTCTGGCTAGTTAATCAGGTGTGAGAAGAAGGTGCTTAAAAATTTTGTTTTGAACTATTAAGCATGTAGTCTCTGTTCCTTTTTTATTTTTAGTTGAGCTAATATTGGGGTACTGACATGAGGTATTGCCACTGTAAAGCACCCACTGGCTCACCCACATCCCACCCCCCTAGATCCTTGTGCTTCCTTCCCTCTTTCCTTCCCCCTTCCACACCCCTGCTTCCCTGCTGGGCGTCTTAGCAATATAGTCAGTTATCAAGGGCTAGTTTTCAAGCTTGTCTTTATCAGATTCTTACTCTAGTTACTTTATATTCCACATACTAGTGACACCACTAGTATTTAACTTTATCCTTCCAACTAATTTCACTAAGCATCATCCCTCCCCTTCCAGCATCATGTTGCTGCAAATGGCGTGAGTTGTAGTTTCTGTTCTTGAATATTCAGGGGGAGAAGTCATAACTTCTGCTTACGCTGACTTTAAGAGTGAGGCCTGAAAGAAGGTGAGATCCAAGGGAAGAACTCTGAGACACTTGATACATTTATATCAAGTGGTATTTCCTATAAAGCAGATTTATAATTAGAATAACTTCCCTTCACTGCCATTCTGAGTCCTGCCTCCCTGTTCTGTGTCTTTACCTTTTTAAAAATTGGAAACATACTCCCAGTTGGGTGGGCCAGCAGGTTAACCGTTATTGTTTCAATGGATTCTTTCCATTTCGTAGGAATATAATGAGGATGACCTTCTGAGGTTTGTAAGTTGTTTATAGAGTTGTGAGAACACTAGGAATTCATGTTGTCACAACTAGAATATTTCAAATAAAGTAATAACTGTTCTTGGCATAAGTTATTTATAGAGGCATTGAAAAGCAATCATGATGGCGGAAGAACACGTTTACTTTCTTTGATGCTGTGTTCTCTGAAGAGTTACGGGGGACACAGTTCCACCAGTAACAGTCGAATAACTATACAAAAGTATGTTTTCATGTATATTTTTTGATTTGTGTTTCCTCAGAGAGGTAACATAGTAGTGCCTTTATTTGCACGTGTGCATACCAAGACTTTAAGTGGTTTGATTATAAAGGTGACTTCAAATCAGATTTTCTTACCCCTGAGTGCAGATACCTTTTGCCCATCTCGTTGCCCCTTATGACTTTATGTTGGGTGATTATGTATAAACACAGGGCTAGATTTTCCAAAACCAACAAATCATCATGCTACCCTCTAAATGCTTGTGGAGAAGAGGAAGAACTTGTATAAATAACACTCATTCAAGGTAGGACACTCTTAGCAGGAGCCCAGAGGAGATACCATTTGTAATCGAGAAAGTCTACTTTGAGAAAAAAGGGTTGCTGATAACTTTTCTATGTGATTCACCATGCTGTTCTACCTCAGAACATGGTGTCTCATCTTGGGATGCGGGTCAATGCTCTGACCTAACTGTAGATGGACGAAGGCCATGGGACTCGAAACACTGGTAAGTTCAAAAGTAAAGATGGATGGGAGGCAGAGGGTGGGGAGGCTTGAAGTAGCTAGGGAAGGGAGAATTTACCCTTCAGAGTTAGGCGTGGAGCTCAGAAGGCACAGGTGGTTGCTGGGAATGGGGTCGCTTCCCTTGATGAAAGCATGAAAGGAAGTAATAGGGGACAGGGCTGGGAAGGTAGTTGGGATGAGACTGAGGACACTTAGAATTTTAAGCCTAAATATTTGGAATTTACTCTTCCCAAAGTTCTGTAAAATTTCTGAAAAGGAAATGTTGATATTTATCATTCTGCAGAAAGAAGTACATTGTTTTTAAGGTAGGAAACAGATGTTTTGATAGTCTGTTTCTGAACAGCTCGGGGAATGACAACCTCGAGCTGTCT